TATATATATATATATATATATATATATATATATGTCAATATAACCACTATGGGAAACACTTCAAAAAGTTAAAAACAAACTGGGTGCGAGTGGCTCACACTTGCAATCTTAGCTACTCAGGAGGCTGAGATCTGAGAATTGTGGTCAAAGCAAGCCTAGGCAGGAAAGTCCATGAGACTCTTATCTCCAATTAACCACCAGAAAACCGGAAGTGGAACTGTGGCTCAAAGTGGTAAAGCTCAGGGAACTGACAGCACCCAGGCCCTGAGTTCAAGCCCCACAACTGACAAAACTGAAAATTAAAAATTAAAAACAGAACCACAATATAACCTAGCTTTTACTCTACGTGTGTGTGTGTGTGTGTGTGTGTGTTCAATCCCATGTTTATTGTAGCACTATTCATTATTGCCAAGAAGTGAAACAACCTAAATTTCCATCAAAAGATGAAAGAATAATGAGGTACATGCACATGATGAATATTGATAAAAAAAATAAACCAGGCACAAAAAGACAAGTATTACATGATCATACTAATATATGTAATATTAAAAAGTTAATCTCAGGGCTGAGGTTGGTGGCATGTTTCTGAAATCCCAGTTATGTAAGAGGCAGAACAGGACATTCAAGGTTTGAGGCCAGCCCAGACAAAATGTTAGTGAGTCCCTAATCTCATCAGCCAATCTGGTTGTGATAGCATGCTCCTATAATCTCAGCTACTTGAGAGGGAGATGTAGGAGGATCACAGTCTAGGGCCTGTCCCTGGGAATAGCATAAGAACCTATCTAAAAAATAAACTAAAGCGAAAAAATGACAAGAGGTATCTCAGATGACAGAATGCTTTGCCTAGCTAACACAAAGCCCTGAGTTTAAAACCCAGTACCACCAAAAATCAAGATTAAAAATTTTAAAAATCAAGTGGATACAAGTTGGGAGTAGAATTGTGGTTGCCAAAACCTGGGGAGAGTAGGAGAGAAAACAGAATAAGAAAAAGTTGGTCAGTACATATTAAGTTACAGTTAGTTAAGCGCAAGAAGTCCTGGTATGTGATTGCAGAGTAGAGTGCCTATAAAAATAATAATGTATTATTAGCTGACAACCCAGCTCATGTTTTAGCCTGTACTCCTAGTTACTCAGGGGTATGATAACTGAGGATCACAGTTCAAAAGCAGCCCAAACAGAAAAAAAAATCAGTTAAACACTTCAATCCAGTTAACTAGTTAAAAGCCAGAACTGGAGGCATGGCTCAAGTGGTAGAGTGCCAACCTTGAGTGGAAAAAGCCAAACAAGAGCACATGGCCCTGAATTCAAGCCCCAGTACTGGTACCAAACAAATAATAACAAAACAAAACAAAAAAAACTAATAATGAACCATACATTTCAAAAAGCTTGACGGGGGCGGGGGGGGAGCCAGAAGAAAAGTTTTTGAATGTTTTCACCATAAAAAAAAGGTAAAATGGGGCTGGGAAGGTGGCTCAGTGCTTGCCTTGCATGCATGAGGCCCTGGGTTAGATTCCTCAGTACTACATAAATAGAAAAAGCCAGAAGTGGCGCTGTGGGCTCAAGCGGTCGAGCACTCGCCTTGAGCTGAAGAGCTGAGGGACAGCGCTTAGGCCGAGTTCAGGTCCACAACCAGCAAAAAAAAAAAAGGGTAAAATGTCTGAAGAGTAAGGTATGCTTACCCTGATGGTAAAAAAGCATTTGTTGTCCTGTCCTAAACATTGCAAAGTGTACACAGACAATACATACCCTATTTACCTCCAGAAAGATGTAAACATCCAAGTTTTAGATAACTTTCAGTCTCATCAAAGACTTAACTGAAGGAATCACTAGCTGAATTTAACCTCAAGAGTCCTTGTTATTCAGATTTACAAGCTATTTTTTTTACTGTGAATATGGGTTTACATCAGATTATATTACATCTGGGAAGCAGACTGAAATCTACTCTCACATAATTACCAGCCCTCCTGGTTTGGCTGCCACTGAGAAAGTACACTTCTCTAAACTAAACAACCAAAGTTAAATTATTTTGACTTTTTCTTTTAAAGTGTTCTGTTTCATTTGAAAGACAAACATAAGAGGATTTTCCATTAGAAATGTAAAATATTTGTAAGTAGAGCACAAGAATTATAAGCTGCTTTTCCTTTTAGGTAAATAACCAAAAATAAGCCTGCCAGCTGGCAAATAAATTTTGTAAATTTAAATAGCAAGTGAAAACCAACCATATTTTTCTGAAGTCCCTTGCTCTGTGTAGTGCTATTGACTAAGCCCTGCACAGACACTAATTTAGATACTTACTGATTAATAACTCATGCCTTTTCACATTTGCTTAAAGATGCTTATCAACCATACTTAGAGTATGCTTAAAACCTGAAAAATTTAATAAATACTTAAAGAGAAGTTCTGCTTATTCGTGTAAGCACCAAGTCCAATGATAAAATCCATTCTCTTCCATCCTTACTTCTCTACTCCCTTTCTTCCCCAAAGAAGCAGCAGGGTTCATGTAAACATGAATGGGGAGTTGGAGAGGAAAACAGCAAAGGTTACTGGGTTTGTATATTGGGGAAGAAAATAGAAAATACTGGAAAATTGAAACTGCTCCTAAATCCTATCTACTTACCCTAGTTCAGTGAATGACAGGTTCATGTGTCAATTTTACTATCAACAATGAAATTCATAAAGCCATGAAGTCAGGGTGTAGCATCCAACAAGAATTGGACCAAGGAGGAATATAAGAGACTAATTAAAATGTAGATTATATGTGTAAAAACTTGATATAAAGAGTCTTACTGTAGAGTCTTTAAGTTCTATTTCCTGCATGGGAAGTAGAAAATGTTTTTCTCTTCCATTTCTCCCTACTCTGCCCGTTATACTAGAATAAATCCTTGCTAAAACTTCAAAAAGAAAGAAAAGAGAGAAAGAAAGAAAGAGAGAAAGAGAAAGAAAGAAAGAAAGAAAGAAAGAAAGAAAGAAAGAAAGAAAGGAAGGAAGGAAGAATCCTACTGTAAGTTTAGCTGTAAAACATAAAATAATGAATCTTCTCCAACAGCCTACTAAAGACCAGAATTAAGTAGATGCTATAAAGTACAACCACATATCCAGTTAATCTGAACCTTTTTTGTGCATGTATGGGTACATACACACATGCATGGGTCATGAGTTTTACAGATAGGAAAAGGTGACACTGATCAAGATGCATTGTATTAATAAACTAACATGCTAAATTTAAACCCCTTTGTACAACTATCTAAAGATAATGAAAATATATATAAATACATTTTTAAAAATCAGTGGTTTCACTGTAAAACACTCTTGATATTCCTGGGCAATGAATTAGTTGCTTTGCATCTGTTGTTTCAGGTACAGATGCTACAAGGTAAAGGAACATTTTTGGTCAGCCATAGGGCTTGAACTCTAGGCTTGGGCACTGTCCTTGAGCTCTTCAGTTCAAGGCTAGCGCTCTACCACTTGAGCCACAGTGCCACTTCCAGCCTTTTCTGTTTATGTGGTGCTGAGGAATCAAACCCAGCGCCTCATGCATGAGGGACAAGCACTCTACCGCTGAGCCACCTTCCCAGCCCCGACCATTCCTTTCTATTCTATAGGTGATATCCTTTCTTTAGCTTAATATTCTTTAAAACTCACAATCTCAATTTCACAAAATAATTTATCTAAAAGGCAGGGAAATAAAAACCGTATGATCAAGCCAGATCTGCAGCTAATTTCTATACATATTAGTTGTAATCCCAAGACTTGGAAAACTTAGAAGGATCTCAAGTTCAATGCCAGCTTGGGCAATACAGCAAGACCTGTCTCTAAAAGATTACAACTATATAACACCAGACAACAATTATTTGTTACTAATGTAGACATTACCATGAAGAAAAGTATTTATTACATTTACACAGGGAATTTGTAACTATCTTAGCTCAATTTTCAGTTCTAATTCCAATTAAATCTTTCACTTACAGAATGGGTAAGACACAAGACAAAATATTGGAAATGAACTTTACAACTTGTGGGGGGAAGGAGTGAGGGTAGGGGAGGGAAGGGATATGGGAGAACAACAAGGGAGAGGGTTAACAATGCTCGACAAGAAATGTACTCATTGCCTTACTCATGTAACTGTAACCCCTCTGTACAGCAACTTTACAATAAAATAAAATTAAAAAAAAAGAATGGGTAAGAAACTAAGAAAAAGAGCAATATCAACATCTAAGGAAAATGAAGACCTGATAGTCTCCATTATGAAACAGATTAAATGGAAAACCAGAAAGAAAAGCAAAGAAACAGACTTGATTAAAAATTACTGCTACTGCAATTCATAGTGATTAAGCATTTCAGTTACTGCCTTTACTGTGTCAAGCATTTTCAGTTCATTAATATTAAAATTTATGAAGGCAAAGGGAAAAATTACAAAATCAAAGCCATTTATTCTTCATGCACTAAATTTAAGATCACCAAGTTAGTCTTCAATTACAGGTGATTCTGTAAGCTGCTACAAATGGATAGGAGAAAGTAAGTTTCAGGTCTACCTGAGTTGGTGACAGCCATTTGCCACTAAGTGTGAATGAAGGTGGGGAGGAAGATGGATAATCTGGTGGCAGTTCAAAGTTCAGCACAAGTGGAGGCAGAAAGCAAATGGTGTATTCAAAGCCACTATTCGGGAGACACTCATTTGAATTGCCTGAACCAAAAACAAAAATTAGAAAGGATCAACAATTGAGTGTCTGTTATTGTTGAGCAGTGCTCAAGAAAGACTTAATGCTTTAGGGGAGGGCATAAAAACCCTCCCCCAAAGCATTTTCTACTCCCTAATATTAACTTCGTAGCCACCACCTTAAAAAAAAATCTTGTAAGTTCTTGAAAAATCTATCAAGCACCATGAAATGTTTGAGAAGACAGACAACTTATTTTTGTATACCCTTCTCAGTACAAGTCCTAACAATGTATTGTTAGGAATACACAATGTTTTGTCTTGTTGTTGGCTTAGAGTAGATGATCAAAGACATAATTTAGAGAAAAAGATGTTTCTTTTTAATCAAACAACCTTTACTGACTTAGACTAGTATGTTCCAATACCTATGAATGCCAAATGGATTCCTATCATGCAGATATGACACAGCATATAACATGATCAAGGTTTCATCTGAATGGCCAGTTCTTTGCTCAATGCCTCTATAGCAGACACAGTTTTTAAACTAGCTTGTTATTATTCTATGGCATGCAAAAATGAATGTGTGAGAAATAGTGTTTGGTGCTTTATAGCTATACAGTATTAACAATTTGAGAACATGTGCATTGAAGTCTTAATTATATAAAAAGAAGTTTTGTTTCTCTGAAGCAAAAGGTCAGAGTAATAACATATGCCATCTGTTTATGGTAGCTGAAATGATTTTGTATTACACCGCATATCCATTTCATTTTCTCTTTGGTTTCTTTTTTTTAACTACTAATGACCCATGCCAATAAACTGCTAATTAGAAGAGTAGCTGCATGAAATATCTAAGATAATATCCTAATTTTGTGGGCAAAAGTCAGAATCAAATTGCCAATTGTTTACTTTGATTCTAACATTCTTTTAAAACTTGCACTAACTTTGCAATACTATCCTGTAATACTACTATCTATAAATGCAAAATGACCAAGAGTTTAGAGTACACTAGAAAACTGCAAATAGTTTTCTCTTAGAAAAATCTCTGTAAGAGAATATTGTTAACTAACCGCTCACAAATATCTTGAAATTCTGTGGCAAATCCAAATAGATCCTGGTTTCTCCACCTTGGACAGACTCTGCTTTTCTGAATTCATCTCCATCATAAATGCTTGCCAGAGCCAGCAATTCATCCTCCTGAGCTTCTCGATCTTCTGACGACATTTAACTTTCTAAGAAATTGAAGACAATAATTCAAATCAGTTAAGAATACAAAGGGCAGATTTGGGGGAAGTTTAATGGTACTGCTGCAAGGTACTAGTCAATACTGTCACTTCTTTGCTATACTATACTAAAATTGACAGTTCTATCTAGCATACTATTAGCTTTGGATTAAGACATCTTCACAATTAAAAATCTTTTTTTGAGACACTGTCTCATCTATAGCCCAGGATGATCTAGAACTTACTTATAGAGTAGGCTGACCTCCAACTCACAATCCTCTTGCCTAAGCCAACCAAGTGTTGGGATTACATGCACAAATCACATTCTAAAGGATGCTACAGGCACAGATGTTATATGTAAGAAAGTTAGATAAAGTGTAAGCAGTAATTTTAAATGTCATCAGATATAAGATGTTATCAACTTTAAGATGATTATTTTCAATAGCACTAAGAATAAAAACATGGCTGAGCACTAGTGGCTCATGCCTGTAATCCTAGCTACCCAGGAGGCTGAGATGTGAGAACTGCAGTTTGAAGCCAGCCTGGGTAGGAAAGTCCATGAAACTGTTATCTCCAATTAATCACCAAAAAGCTCGGAGTAAAGCTGAGGCTCAAGTGGTAGAGTGCTAGCTTTGAGCAGTAAAGCTCAGGGACAGCATCAGGACCTGAGTTTAAGCCCCAGGACAAGCAAAACAAAAGTGGGGGGTCAAAAAAAGAAAAGAATGAAAACATGATATAATAAAAATATGAATGCTTTTGTAAATGCAGTGACTGAAAAAAAGACAATTTCATCATTTAAAGAGATAACATAGCCGGGTGCTGGTGGCTCATGCCTGTAATCCTAGCTACTCAGGAGGCTGAGATCTGAGGATCATGGTTCAAAGCCACGGGCAGGAAAGACTGTGAGACTCCTATCTCCAATAAACCACCAGAAAACCAGAAGTGGCGCTGTAGCTCAAGTGGTAGCTCCTTGAGCTGAAGAGCTGAAGGATAGCGCCCAGGCCCAGAGTTCAAGCCCCACGACCGACCAAAAAAAAAAAAGAGATAACATATACATGAAAATCTATGAAACCTACCTTAATAAAACAAAAATATAGTTTAACATGGTAGCACATGCCTGTAACCCCAGAACTTGTAGTGCTTCCCTAAAATAGATGAAGGCCTGGGTTCGATTCCTCAGTACCACATAAAATGAAAAAACCACAAGTGTTACTGTGGTTCAAATGCAAGCCTTGAGCAAAAAGAAGCTCAGAACAGTGCCCAGGATCTGAGTTCAAGCCCAGACCAAAAAAAGGATAGAAAGTTCAAGGCCATCCTGTGCTACAGAACTAGACCCTGTATTTAAATTTTTTTAAATCACTCTGTTTATTAAAATGTTGAGACTGTAACTACAGTTGTTCCTCACAATTATCAACTTTAAGACTTGAAATGCACAGCTAGGTGCGCCTATAAGCCTAGCTATTCAGCAAGATTGGAGAAATGAGGTCTGGAGTTAGCTGGGGCAGATAAAGCTGAGCTGTATCCCCATTAACTAGCAAAAAGCCAAAGGTAGAGGCATGGCTCAAGTGGTAGAGCCAGTAGAAAGGGAGAGTTGAAGGCCTAGAGTCCAAATGTACAAAATTCAAAGTTTAGGGTATAGTTTTTCACCTTATACAATTTAAACAAATTCATTTAAAATGATTCCACATTCAAGGATGTGAGGGCGATCCGGCTGCGACATCTGTCACCTCATTGATCACCAGGGTTGATTCAGCTGCTCTGGCTGGCTAGGTGGGTGTCCCTTTCTCCTCCCTTACCACTTCAGCAGCTGCACTACCAGTCAAAGAGGACAACCATCCCTGATAGAAGAGGACCAGTCTTCAGTCAAGGGTATACGAGTAGCTGCACTCCCCTGCTAAAACCTCCAGACAAGCTCTCACAGTCAGAAAATATATTTTCCCCAGCACAAGTAAATGTCCCATTTTATGCTGCATGCCTGAGACACAGTAACATGTTCTACTTAAGTTAGTACCTGTTAATAACAACCAGAAGAAAAAGATATCAACACTGCAGTTCCGTTTGCAATTTGTACAAATCCCATTTATTCTCCAGCCTGTGGAGCTGAGACTGCTGAAGCTGGAGAAGAGGCCAAGATATGAGACTCATATTAGATACACTATGGAAATCCCACCATCTGCAGAGAAAAAACATGAAAAGTGGTGTTAGGACTCTCTCCAAATGTAAATTCTGAATTGCCATTCTACCACACCCTAACATATGGCTAATCTTAATCTACAGCTACATATGTCTCCCCTAAGACAGTCTGAGTCATGATTCAGAGTCATAGCTCTAGGTCAGAGACAGGCATGTTCCCAGCCATGATGGAGGCCTTCTTATCTGACAGTCTGCAGCCCTAGAACAGAGGAGCACCAAGGTCACAGGGAGGGCAGGACACCACACCCCAAAATAAACATCTCAGTTTTCCTCTTTTCCTCTTCTCTTTTTTTTTTTTTTTGGTGGAGGGGAGGGTGTCTAGTCGTGGGGCCTGAACTCTGGGCCTGGGCGCTGTCCCTCAGCAATTCAGCTCAAGGCTGGCCCTCTACCACTTGAGCCACAGCGCCACTTCCAGCTTTTTTTTCTTTTTGCTTATGTGGTGCTGAGGAATCGAATCCAGGGCCTCAGGCATACAAAGCAGGCACTCTACCACTGAGCCACCTTCCCAGCCCTCCCCTTCTGTTTCTTTTACTCCTTCATTTCCTACTTCCCTCCAGTTCTTACTTTTGTTCATAAATTAACCTAACCTGAGACACTCAAGGTTAGGTTAACTTTGATGACCGAATATTTTAAAGCAAAACAAACTTTTAAGTTTGATTCTAAAAGCTTTAGAGCCAGATTTCTACATTGGCATTTATGAGAAGGGGAAGTATGGAGGGTTGTGGAGTAATTATATACAAAACTATTGTATTCAATCATAAACTGCAAACTAGATTCTCACATTTGTGATTCTTAAATAAGCTAATAATGAGTAAATATGCAAAATCAATGCATATTTATTGAGTACCTACTGTGTACTGTAGTAGGTCCTTTCCCATTTACCTTCCTGAATTTTCAATCATTTTAACAAGTGGTAGTAGGTAGTGATAAAAGGTTAAGTTTTGCTGGGCAGGTGAGTCACACCTGTAATCACAGCTACTCAGGAGGCTGAGATTTGATTTTTTTTTTTTTGTCGGTCATGGGACTTGGAACTCTGGGCTTGGGCCCTATCCCTGCTCTCTTCAGCTACCTCTTGAGCCACAGCACCACTTCCGGTTTTCTAGTGGTTAATTGGAGATAAGAGTGTCTCGGACTTTTCTGCCCAGGTGGCTTTGAACTGTGACCCTCAGATCTCAGCCTCCTCAGTAGCTAGGATTACAGGCGAGAGCCACTGGCGCCTGGCTAGCAGGCTGAGATTTGAGAATGGAGGTTCAAAGCCAGCTGGGACAGGAAAGTCTGTGAGACTCTTATCTCAATTAACCACCAAAAATAGCAGAATGGAGCTGTGGCCCAAGTGGTAGAGTACAAGTCTTGAGCAAAAAAGCCCAGGAACAGGATTCAGGCCTTGAGTTCAAACAGGTATAAACACAATTAATTTTCTGTGTTAAAACATTTGCAGACAGTATGAGAGTTAATGGCTTTAAGTTAGCTATCTCCAACTTGTCTGAATATTGGATCTCCCAAGGAGCTACTTTTTAAGATCCTAATTCCTACCTCACATCCCAAGCAATTGTTTTTCAAGCTCTCCAGATCATTTTACTCTGTATCCAATATCTATACCAATCAATGTCTCCCTTGAACAGCTCTTCAAAACGATCGGGCTTCTGAAGCTGCCAGTGAGTTTAGTTTCCAGGTTGCACTTAGCTAGTATCTAGGTCCTTCTGATTCTACCCGCTCTAAATCCATTCCACAGACGCTACTCCAGACAACACTTTCCTATTAGACATCATGTCATTAAATTCCAGCCCAATTTTCCTAGTACACTTGCCATCTTGAATTGGGTTATGAAATTTGCACTTTCTATCCTGCTAGCCTACAAGTTTCTCAAGGGTGAGGGACTAATGAGTCTTTTCCATCTGCTTACTGTTCTCAGCATCTGGCTGCACCTTGCCTTTGACACCTGGAAATATTGTAACGGGGCCGGGGTGAAATGCAGTGCGCTGGAACACGCTAGAAGGAGGGGCCAGGCAGGTGCACTGTGTTCAGTAACCAGTCGCTATATAGGATCAGAAGCCGGACGTTGGGTAGGTTGTCACAGTAACAGTAAGAACAGTAACAATTAGCTCTTACCCAGGGTCAGACATGGTGCTAAGCCCTTTCCATGCACGAGACGAGGCTAAACATGCATTTACCACGCCCGGTTTCTTCATCCGTGCCACGGGAACAAGAATACAGCCTGACATGACTACAGTAGACGTTCAAATGTAATCTTAGCAGCTGCACACCGGAAGCCGCGCCCGCAGCGGGGGGAAGGCCCTCCCGGCCGGGAAGAGCCTGCTCCCGCTGCCCCGCTACCTCGGCGTGGACTCCGCCCTGGACTCCCCGCACGCCAGGGCGGTCGGCCTGGCCCGGGGCCGCACGGCGTGCGGCTCACCGCACCCCGCGCGGGCCCAAGTCCCGCTACCCGCCCGGCGCCGGCACCGTGGCCGCCCCGCGGGGCTTGGACCGCCCTCTTTCCCCGGCGCGCCGGGAGGAACCGGGCCGGGCTGCCGGCTCCGAGGATCCACGGACGGACCAGGCTCAGTCCGGCCGACCGTCTCGGCCTCGCGCGCCCACAGCGCTATAACGCTGCCCCCACTGTACCTTCCGGCCGTCCCGCCGGGCTGGGTCCTAAAGTTCCGCTCTCTGCGCCTGTCCGGAGCCCCCGCACCAACACTAGCCCGCCAGGCCTAGAGACTCCAGGCTCAAATCCGTGCACCGCCTCTTCCGTTCCAACAGCTGTCAGCTGAGAGGGGCGGATGCTGAGGGGCCGCCCCTGGGGCTGGGTAGCGCTATGCGCAGCCGCAGTGGCCATCATCTGCTCTCCATGCGCCCTCTGCAGGCCATAGGTGGAACCGTATGTGCGGCTCACCCTCACCGCTGCGAGGCGATGTACCCTTCTAGAGAATTTGATGCAAATGCAGGCTCTGGAGCACTGTGCCCAGGAAAGTATCTGGAGTCCCAAGCTTGGGGGAAGCACAACGGATGCGTGCAGTGGTACACGTCTGTCATCCCGTTGACAAAGGGAAACACAAAAAGAAGGTTGGCAGCCCCTGCTGGCCCCAAGCATACAACAAGACACTATCTCAAAAAATAACCCACATAAGGGGCTGGCAGAGTTCACGGAAGGAAGGAAGGATGGAGGGAACGAAGGGAGGGAACGAAGGGAGGGAGGGAGGGAGAAGGGAGGGTTGCATATCTATGTTTATGCCAAACAATAGAATCAACTGAAGTGTCCAGCAACAAATGAATGGATAAAGAGAATGTGATATATGTGTATTCTATAATATATTTTATTATATATTTCATTATATTACACAATATACATATTCCAATTGTGTAGATGGAAAGATGGATATAATGAAATACAGCCATAATGAAAAGTGGAATCATGGCATTTGCAGGAAAATGGATGCAGTTAGAGGACATCATATTGAGTGGAAAAGCCAAGATCAAAAAACAAAATATTGTATGTTTTCATTCATACATGGAAGCTAGATCTAAAAGATATACATACTAGTGGACATGTACATAGGTGTGTAAAAACATACATATATACTTATTTATATGGTTAAACATAGAACATGAATTAAACTAAGAGACTATTTAGGAGAAAGGAGGGGTAGGTACGAGGGCAGCATAGAAAAGCCAGGCACCAGTGGCTCCCACCTGTAATCCTAGTTACTCAGAAGGCTGAGCTCTGAGAATCAAGGTTCAAAGCCATCCCAGGCAGGAAAGTCTGATCTCCAATTAATCACCACAAAACTGGAAGTGGTGCTTTGGCTCAAAGTGGTAGCATGCTAGTCTTGAATGAAAAAGCTCAGGGACAGTTCCCAGGCCCTGAGTTCAAGCTCCATGACTGACAAAAACAAACAAACAAACAAAAAACAACTAAATGAAAACTGTTGACTATAGAGAGATGGAAGATTAGGGAAAGGGAGTCTTTTATTGGTGGGTAGGTACTAGGGGGAGGGGGCTGGTCTGGTAGAAAGAATAAAGAAGGTTGAACACTATTGAAACAAATTATTTACAACTGTGAAAATAGAATAACAAAACATGTTGGGGATGTTTTAGGGGGTGATGGGGAAAAGTAGAATGATAGAGATAGTGAGTGACTGAAATACAGTATAAACTGGATTGGGAGTGTAGCTCAGTGGAAGAGTTCTTGCTTGCTGAGCACTTAGGTCCTGAGTTTAGTCCCCAGCACCACAAAAAAAAGAAAGAAAAAAAGAAATATAGTGTAAATATGTGGATATGTAATAACAAAACCACCCCCTGTATAACTAACATAAGCTTTAAAGCTGGGTGCCAGTGGCTCACGCCTGTAATCCTAGCTACTCAGGAGGCTGAGATCTGAGGATCGCTGTTCAAAGCCAGCCTGGGCAGGAAAGTCCATGAAACTCATCTCCAATAAATCACCAGAAAACCAGAAGTGGTGCTGTAGCTCAAGTGGTAGAGCACTAGCCTTGAGCTGAAGAGCTGACGGACAGTGGTCAGGTCCAGAGTTCAAGCCCCACAATTGACAAAAAAAAAATTCAACCTTTGGAGACAGGAATAGGAAGCCCATGGTTTAAGGCCGACCTGAGCAAAAGTTAGCAAGACTCTGTCTCAACAATGAGCCAAATGTGGTAGTGCATGTCTATAATCCTACTTATTCAAGAAGCAGAAGTCAAAAAATTTCTGCCAGAATCAAGATCTCAGCTAAAAAATACAACTAAAATTAAAAGGACTAGGGGCATAGCTCAAGTGGTAGAGTGCTTGCCTACTAAGCACAAGATCCTGAATTCAATCTCCAGTGTCTCCCACCTTCCCCCACCAAAATAGGGAGATGTAGAGAAATTGGAACCTTCATATACAGCTGACTAGAATTTAAAATGCTAGAGCCATTTTGTTTTTGTTGTTGTTGTTTGTTTTGTTTTGTGCAAGTACTGGGGCTTGAACTCAGGGCCTCATACTCTTGCTTGGCTTTTTTTGCTCAAGTTGGTGCTTTACCACTTGAGCCACACTTCTGGCTTTTTGCTGGACAATTGGAGATAAGAGTCTCATGGACTTTCCTGCACAGGCTGGCTTTGAATCACAACCCTCATATCTCAGCCTCCTGAGTAGCTAGGATTACAGGCGTGAGCCACCGGCGCCTGGGTCCCCCATCACCTCACTCTAATAGTTAATGGTTCCTCAACAAGTTCAATGTAGAGTTACAATAATATTCAGCAATTCTACTCCTAAGTACATACCCAACAGAATTGATGTTCTTATGGAACATATGCCACACAAAAAGCTTGTATATGAATATTCCTAGCAGCAATACGTGCAAGAGCTCCAAAAGGAAAATGGGTTTTCAAAGTACCTTCTTAAAATAATTCAACTATTACCTCTATAATTCCACAATGTTTTCATCCACTTACAAAAAAACAAAGCTGGGTGTTGGTGGCTCATACCTGTAATCCTAGATACTCAAGTGGCTGATATCTGAGGGTCAAAATTTGAAGTCAGACCAGGAAAGAAAGCCCATGAGACTCTTACTTACAGTTAACTACCAAAAAAAAATCCAGAAATGGAGTTATGGCTCAAGTAGCTGAGTGTTAGCCTTCACCAAAAATGTTCAGAAACAGCAACTGGGCCCTGAGTTCAAGCCCCAGGACATACACACACACACACACACACACACACAAACACGCACACATGCACGCACACACATAAAATACCCATTAACAGCCCCTGCTTCAGCCCCCTGCCAACCACTAATTTACTCACTGTTGCTATGAAAACCCATTGGACTGTATACTTGTGTGTGTGTCTATACGCATGCTCACACACACACACTCACTCACACACACACACACACACACTGATACTCTGGCGTGAACCAGGCCCTCACGCTCTTGCTTATCTTTTTTGTTCAAGGCTGGCTCTCTACCACTTGAGCCACACCTCTACTTCCAGCTTTTTGCTTGTTAGTTGGCAGTAAGAGTCTCTTGGATTTGTCTGCCCAGGCTGGCTTTGATTCTCATATTTCAGACTGCTAAGTAGCTAGGATTACAGGTGTTAACTCACCAGCATCCAACCCTGCATTGTATACTTCTAAAAGGTTGCTTTTATCATATGTGAGTTATATCAATTCAGTTGGAAGGGGATACAAAGCATTGTTCTCAGAACTTGAATGGAATATAGAAACATTCCTATTTCTGGAAGCCTCAAACTGAAGGGCCTCTAACATTCTAAATTAGCTCCTGTGTCCTCCCCATTCTGTATTTCTTGTCCCAAAAATATAAGGTACAAAGCTTTAACTCCAACCCAAGCCTATAGGATTCTAGAGTTCTTATCTACCTGCCTTGAGGCAGGACCAGCTTCACAGGCCAGCAACCTGTGCAGTCACATAGAAGAGCCACATGCTTAGAAGGGCTCTGCTTTTGATTGATGTTGTGCTGTCGCCATCTTGAAGTTCTTCATAATTTATGAGCATGACACTCTGCATTTTTATTTTACCCTAGCAGCTGCAAATTATTTAAGCCAGTATTTACCTGGCTGCTGCAGAGAGACAACCTGAAAACCTAATCATCGCTCCTAATTTTCTATACTATAAATCTATTGTCATTGAAGAGAAAGGTAACTAGCCCTGAAACAGAAAGCAAAACCAGAAACATGCCCCTTAAAAATGCAAAGGGAGGAAGAAGAATCTCCAAAGCCATTCACCAATATTGGTATTCCTATTCAGCCAAAGGAATAAACCCAAGACCATAATGCCTGGCAACCCTACCTCAGGTGCTCAGAGAGCTGAGACCAGACATCTCCCAGAGACCTCTCAGATGCAAAAGTTATGGGGGCCAGGGGACTCATGAAGCAGCTCAGGAAAGTCTCACAAAGTTGAAAGCAGAAAGTGAATTGTGACATCATGCCATGACCTCATGGCAGAGGTCACAGGAAAGAAAGAAAAGAAGAGGGCATTTCAAAGCAGTATTCATAACTCAGAGGATGTTAAAGGTGAATTAAAATTTGTCTGGTTTTGAGGAAATAATTGGCTACAAAGAGTCCTTTTTTAATAAATTTTGTCTTTAAAGGGTGAACAAATGCAGCAGTGGTACACACTAATAAATTTTGCCTTTAGACTCTGAAAATTGCAGACTTTTATGTCTTTGGAGTTTTCTGTGTGTGCGTGTGTGTGTGTGTGAGAGAGAGAGAGAGAGAGACAGACAGACAGACAGACAGACAGACAGAGACAGATAGAGAGGCAGAGAGAGACAGAGACAGAGAGAGAGAAAATGTGTGCCTGGATAGTCTTTTAAGTTGAGCTTTTCTCTTATGCCCGGGACCCTATGACTTTGATAATATTTGACAGAGGAAGAAACTGAGGCATGACAAAGTGATATGAGCCAGGAATTAGTAGGATCAATTTCTCATAAGTCTGACCCTCTGCAGTAGCTTGTAAAAGAATTATAGTTTGCAGCAGCAAATACACACAGAGAAAAACAGTTCTGGCCTGGATAATTAAAAGAACCTAAGGGAATGACTATAAAGTTTAAGACATAGACAGGTTATAATGTGAATAAACAGAGAGAAAGAGACCAAATTCATCCCTTGTCCCCAGATAACAGGGCCTAATGCAAGAAGAGGATGACGTGTGTGCTACACCAGCAGTGAGGAAATCAGTCCGTGGACTAGAGAATAGGAACAAGGCACCAAGTAGGGCTTGTTAGTACAGAGGTCAACAGAC